GCAAGTAGAACAACAAAGAGAAGTACAGGAAAACACACGAATATGCCGAAGGCTTTCTCAAATTTACTGCTCCATCTGGGCATACCCTGATGAAGCAGTAGATGCAATTTGTTCGACAGGAATTCCACACGAATGGTATGCCATATAAAGAGTTACACGGAAAAATTCGAGAATTATACCTCCAAAGGCGCCTGTGCAGGTCAAAACACAGCTAAGTAAGAAAGAAAAGATAGAAAATCAACACCTATTTACAAAATAAATAGATATTAGCTGATATTTTAAACTTATCAAGAGTCGGGGAAATTACAATCTCAGAAGGCAATCTATTCGAAAGCCTACAAATAGCAGGAAAAATACATTTAGAGAACTGAGAAGTAGACGGTCGACTTGCATCAAATGTCATTGAATTGAGAGTCATGGAACTTCTAGGTACTCCTGCAAGTTGATAAAAATCAGATAAAAACTCACAGAGGGGATGTGAATTGTCGGTTACAATGAGACTGAATGATCCCCAAAATCTGTACGATGACCAATGTCCAGATTTAAATCATACAGGAGAAATTTAATGTAATTAAAAGAAAGGTCAAGCAGTCGTAAGGACTCTGCAGCAGATAACCATACAGGAGAACAATACTCGGAATGAAGCAGAACAAAAGAAAAGAAGCATCTACGAGTAATGTTATCTTCATAAATCTTGTGCGTGCGAATGCTGCCTAACTTTAATGAAACTGTCCGGGCCATATTCTTAATTTGCAATGTAAGCTTTAAATCGAGGGTTACACCTAAGTGCTTCAGATTATCCACAAATGTGATTAATATGCCATTATCCAGCAGCCTTGGATGCTGATTCAACTACGTTCTAGACCAACTCAGTCATTTCCTTGGACTTGATAGGATTTAATTTCATTCCCCACCGAGAGTACCACGATTGAATTATCATCAGTTCTACAGTTAGACTATCAGCTACTATTCCTCTGGTTGCCGGAGAAGGAATATCAGCACAGAGAGAAGTATCATCTGCATATACCAACGTTTTATTAGTAATGCACATATAGCTTGTACATAAATTGAAGAGCAAAGAACCAAGAACATTACCCTAGACTACACACGGGAACTCGTGCTAAAACTACTATCGATATATATGTTATATATATATATATATATATATATATATATATATATATATATATATATATATATATATACTTATACATGCATACACATATATCTATATACATATACACATGTGTGT